AAGCAGGCTGGCAAGGTAAACCCTAGATTAGTGATCCTGGGCTGCACAGGAGGATGCCATAATCATGCCTGTAATAAACCAGTTTGGGGTCCTGCTTGTGGCATATTCTTCCAAATGTGCCAAAACTGAGTACTAACAACTGTCCCTACCATTTTCAAAGAATGTTACACGTGGCATGGATAAAATTAAGGCTTGAGAAAACTTGCTTCTTCTCTATCTTATTGAAAATCATTATGTATGGACCTTGTTTAACCAAAGCCAGGGTGGACGATGGAGGTCAATATTTATTGATTCCTCTGGTTGTGAGCACAGGATTTGGAAGGTTGCTTCTTGGAATGTAAGAATAGTAAATGATAAAACACCCAAATAAAAGGGAAAAATAGATGTGTGTTTCTACATCTTAAAAGAATGTAGAGAGTAAAGAAGATGACCTTGATGGAAAGACAGAAGACCTGCAATGTTTATCTCCTTGTTGCCTTGGTAACAGAACTTCTCTGTCTCCATCAAGGGTATTTCTTTACTCTCTACAGAGAAAGTGCAATAGCTTTGAATGGAAGTGATGTAATTTTATGGACAGAATTTGCAGGCTTCACATGAAGAAAACAAAGCTGTAGGTTTTATTTATTTCATTAATTTTTTTTATGGCAGCTATTCCAACAGACTCTGAACAAAATGCATAATTAAAACAATTTAAAATATAGACAAATCAAGACTCTCTGGACTAAAAACAGCCACAGTAAAACATGACATGGCAGCTTCCCTCCTCTACATTAACCCCAGGCCTGAGAACAGCCAGGTTTTCAGAATCCCAATAGAGTAGGCATCATCCTTATCTCAGGGGGAGAGATGCCATTCAGAGACAGGAGCTTTGACCGAGAAGACAATGTTTAATAGAAGGAATCTGGAACATAGTCACTACCAGGCAGGCAGGAATAATGGGAGAGTGTTGGTTCTTCAGATAACTGGGACATATGCCATTAAGGGCCTTAAAAGTAACAACTAGCACCTTGAGTTGCACACAGAAGCCAAGTAGTAGCCAATGCAAATCACTTAGCTCTGACACATGGGCATATTAGGAAATGCCCATTACTGCTCCCACGGCTGCATTTTGAACCAGCTGTAGCTTCCAGATAGTTGTCAAGGATAGCCCCACCTAGAATACATTGTAGTAGTCCAGACATGAAATGACAAGGAAATGAATGGCAGTCTGAAATGAAAGAACTAACATGTATAATCAAAAGTATAAAATGGTATCATCTAAGTTGTTATAAGTATGACATTAGGAATTCATGGATGGGAACAATTCCATGAAAAAAGTGATAATAGAAGAACCAGATAAGGTTTTTTTGGGATGGGGGGGATGTACCACATTCTGAATAAAGCCAATCTGGAAGGAGGAAAAAAAGAATTCTGTTAAGTGTAATGAATGAATGAATGAATGAATGGAAATGAGTGTATACAGGAAAAATGATTGTGCCATTCAGAGATTTAAGAATGAATGAGAATGATGACTGTTTAGTGCATCTCTGCTGGAAGAGAATGTACAGGTCCTGTATGAAAAAGTATTAGAAAATAGATTACTCTCTCGATAGAATGAATGGAATCAGAATGTGGAGGTTGTTTAGAAGGGAATGAAAATAATTACAAAGTGCCATAGAAGTGTGTGGAGCTAATACTAATAGGAAGAATGAAAAAGCATGCTTGGAGAAATAACAAAGAGACTGTAGATGAGCAAAAATCTATGCAAGATAATGATTCCTACCAAAATAAGGATAAGAGAAAGATACTATGTTTAGGAGAAGAAATAGTAAGGAATGGTTACAATTAAAGAAGCAAAATAGTTTGGGGGAAATAAAAACTTTTGAATGTGGGTAAAATATAGTTAAACAAGGAGACTCCATCAGAGTGAATAGACTTAAAAATGAAAGTGTTTTAATTATTTGAATTAAAGACTTGAAATTTAGAGATCTGTAATAGGAATGACGTGTCAGTCAGATAGTAAAAATGAAACAAAGGTTGCAGATATCAGGGTCCAAGAAATAAATGATGAAAATAATGTAAAAATGGAGGAATGGTAAGGGTGCAGGAATTAATATAAGAAAGAAAAGAAAAAGGACAGAAAAGAAAGGAAGATTAATAACATTGTGGTTCTATGGTTTTGATGACATTCTCAAAAAATAGAATGGGAAGTTTAGAGGCCAAAAGTCAATGTATGAAGCAATAAAGCGAGGATGGTTTGCAAATATTTTAAAAAAACTGCTGAGAAATGTAATTAATAGTGTTGGTGCAAAGTAGATTTAATAAGTTATCCTCTTCTCTTATGACCTGCCTTTATTTGGCTTACTATTTCTTAGGCCCTTTCTGTGCTCTACATTACATAGGGAATAGTGTGATGAGTATCTCCTGTATACAGTATATCTGGGATATTATCCTTCAACTAGTTACCTATGTCATGACAGGCCAGTCTGTTTCCTAAGTTGCAGTCACTGATGCAAGAATAATTACTTTATATTCAAAATTCCCTTTAATGTTTTTGTTTCAGTTAAACCATTAGTTTAACAGTTACTGGACATCACTGGAATTTTTAAAAAAGTATACCTTCCAGTTTCCCGGAGGACATACTAAATGCACCATATTTTCTCTTAAACATTTGTTTCTTTCATTTGACTAAAACAAAAATCGATTATGAGATTTGTGACTAACAAAAGATATATGGTTGGTTTAATATGACATCACACAGGTATATCACGGACACAGTTCTATATCAGGGTGCCTTTGGGAATTGTATACCAATTCTACATGAAAGACATAATAGATGGTTAAGAGGAAAATGGAATTTTCTCCCTTGGAGAACTGACATAATATATTCCCATGTTCTGGTTTTATAGTTTCCTCATTGGCTTGTTTGCTTTGTAATTAATCCCTCGTGTTTAGGAGAAATTTATTAAAAGGTACGTTTAGATAACACAATTTCTGCTTCTAAATCGTAAAATACATTTCATGTTAACATTTTTATGATAAAGTTACATAAGGACAATTATATACCCCGCTATTGGAAAAGAAATGCAATGTGTTTACAGGGATCAGATTAACTAAAAACCTGTGATTTTGTGATGTTAACATCCTCTATTTTTATTGCCTTTTCCAGTTCTACTGATTTGGTGTTGTGAAATGCTGAGCAAAGAAAGATAGAGAAGCAGTTTTCTGACCAGTGAACCAGGGGTTGGTTCTACTTACCTTTACTACCGGTTCACAATGGGGCCCATGCGCAGTAGCGTCCTGATGATGTCGGGGTCGGTGGGCAGAGCCTCCCGCCAGTTTTACTACCGGTTCTATAGAACCGGTCCGTACTGGGGGCAACTCACCACTGCAGTGAACTACTGATATTTTTTTGCACCAGATTGCCATTTTGGATTAGATTTGGCCTGAAGAGCTTTTTCTTTATAGATACTATAAATTGAATTCATTAATATTTTTCTTTAACCTAAACTGTGCAGTTAATGGTTCTCCTGCCACACCTAAACATTCATCTATTAAGAATTATTTTTATATTTTAACTATAGGTAGTCCTCAACTTACAACCAGTCACTTAGTGACTAAATTTATGACCAACTCGTAATAGAGACAACTGCTTCAAAGTTCCAATGGTTGGCCCCCTCCACAGTCCCATCCCAAACTTTGGGCACCTGGCAACACAGCCACATATTTACAGCTATTTCAAGCATCCTTGACCATGTTTTACAATGTTTGCCAAAAACCAGCACTTCCGGTTTTCAGCAAAACTGTGCCCATAGCAAACCATTGGTTTGTTTAATAAACAGCACATCCACTTTATGACTGCTGTGTTCACTTAATGACTGCTGTAAAAAAGTTCATAAAATTGAGTTATTACTATTCCGACATACAGCCATAATAGATAGGTTTCGTTATAGTTGTATGTCAAGGATTATCTCTATATGATATCCAAATAATATCTTGTGAACAGATCCTCTGAAATGTTGACTTCTTGTTTAGTGGTTCTAGTACTATGCTAAATTTCACAAACTCAAATTATTTTGGTTTGGAGCGTGCTGTTTTGCAATCAGAACAAACTTTTTAGTTCACTTTGGATAGGTTTCAAGTTTGTAATAGCTCTGCTTCAAGATCAAAACACCTGTTTGGGAGAAGTGAAATGCGCTGCAAAGTGTGAAAAAAATCAATTAATGCAAAGCAGTTGTTTTAATCTAGAAATAGGGCATTTTGCATTTACAGTCCCTTGAATTCAAAATGTATAGATGTGCCTGTAAAGCACTAAGCATCTTATTGATGCAACATTTATAAACTCTTTTCTTGTCTTAATAACTTAACATGCCTTTTTATGGCATTCCCAATTAATCTTCACTCTATAATAGTGTTTAATTCCTGCAAATAATTATGAAATAATGGATTGCAAATCCCATTCAAATAATTTTAGCCAAAAGGTCTTATTTGTTGTCTTCATTGTCTTATTTCTTGTTCTTTCATCTTGTTATTACTTCATTCTTCTTGCTTCATTATGTTTATCTTTTAATTAAAATCATCTTGTTAGTGTTTGTCCTGCATACAGAACACAATTAATGTTCAAAACTAAGCATAATGTTGTAAAAACAAAACGAAAAACCTAAAGTTAATATAAATATCTGTTTAAAGTTTACATTGGATTACAATTCCCATCATATGCTGCGTCGTATTGGCTTTAGCTGGTAAAAACACTATCATGCACAATCAGGTGATGTCACTTTAGGGCAACCTGGAATCTAATCTATTTTTGCCTATTGTGAAATACTTAGACCTGTGTGTCAAGGATTAGGCAGAGAGGCATTTGACACTCAAAGTACATAAATGACACATAAACTAAACTGAATCTCCCTACAGGATCTGCGGAGCATGTACAGAAACCATTGTACTGCCAATATGTTGCACCATATTTTATTATTTTACTAGACAACCTATGACCCATCCTTTCAGAGATATTTCCTTACCTAAATAGAGGACAGAATGGCCATGGGTAAGCAAAAAAGCAGTGGGAGAGGGAGCAACTTCCCCATTGATTTGCTTGTGGGAAGCTGACAGGGAGCATCAGAAATCATGATCACGTGACTTCAGTTGACCATGGCAACACTGGAATGGTGACAAACAGTGGTGAAATGTAAAATGTGTTACTACCGGTTCTGTGGGCGTGGCTTGGTGGGGGGGATATGACTGAGCGGGCGTGGCCAACTTTTTTTAAAAAAACTTTTAAAACCATTTTTTCTACAACCTCTTCAGCTGAAGAGGTTGTTAAAAATATGCTTTTAAAGCCTCTGACGATCCCAGCTGACTTGCCTGATCGGCAGAGGTTTTTTTTCCTTTTAAAAACATTTTTTCTATAACCTCTTTGGCCGAAGAGGTTGTAGAAAAAATGCTTTTAAAAGCCTCTGATGATCCCAGCTGAGCCACGTGATCATCAGAGGCTTTTTTTTTTAACTTTTAAAAGCATTTTTTCGGCCAAAGAGGTTGTAGAAAAAATGCTTTTAAAAATTAAAAAAAAAGACTGATGATTGCATGGCTCAGCTGGGCAATGGGGTGGGGTGGGGGGGACAGGGATTTTTGCTACCTGTTCTCCGAACCACCCGCCTCCATCGCTACCAGATCGGGTGATCTGGTCCGAACTGGGAGCATTTCACCCCTGGTGACAAGTCTGCTAATTCAACTGGTCTGAAGCAGGGGTGAAATCTTCTTACTTTGCCTACTGGTTCAGAAGTGCTTGCTCCACTCGCGTGCATTTCTGCGCATGCGCAGAGGATAAAAAATAGGTTACTTCCTGGTTAAAACCAGGCAACCAGTGGTTAAAACCAGGAAGTAATGATGAACGGGTGGATGGGCGGAGCTTTGTGCTGCCATCGCTACCGGTTCTCCAAACCACCCGCCACCATCGTTCCCGGTTCAGCCGAACCGGTAGCATTTCACCCCGATCCTTGAAATTTCAGTTACACAGGAACCTCCACTGAGGCAAGGTGAGCTAGCACCTGCATTTTTCTTGCTCTGTACAAATTGCAGGAGCATTTCAGCCCAAAAGGCAGCTGGAAGCGTGATCCAGACTGCCAAAATTCTCTCTGGAAGAAAGATAAGTAAGCAGGCAATTGACCTTTAGCTGTCTGATGCTGCCTCTTTTGTTGGGTCTTTCATTATCAGGTAGGCTTTGCCAGATGTTAACCAATCTTCAGTTTCACCTCCTTGCAATATGTCTGTGAAGATTCTCAGTCATCCAGGTCATGGTTTTCCAGTTGCTTCTTGAAAAAGCACCTTTGGGACTCCTAGTCAGATGTTTTAACCTAAAGCCATGGAATTCATCTTCACCCAGTGCTGATCAATTCTTGCTCCACCATTTCTGCTGTTATTACAAGTTCTTTCAGCTTCTTTTTTTATTCTTACCTTCCTCCTTTATCCAAGCTGTCTTCTTGTTGTATTTTGTCAGGTTGTCCCATAGCTATGGCCAGAACTGCCCTGTTTCTCTTTGTCGGGTGTTGGCTGCTTCATTGAAGTCTCTCCATTGATGGATTGGTAGAAATGTTTCTGATTCAACTGAATTTGGAGAGAGTGTCTATAGTGTCAAGCTTCAGTGAAGGCAACCTTATTTGTTGTGTTTGTGTTGTTCTAGATCAGTGGTTCTCAACCTTCCTAATGCCGCGACCCCTTAATACAGTTCCTCATGTTGTGGTGACCCCCAACCATAAAATTATTCCTAAAACTATTGAAAATATATGTTTTCCGATGGTCTTAGGCGACCCCTGTGAAAGGGTCATTCGACCCCCAAAGGCGTCCCGACCCACAGGTTGAGAACCACTGTTCTAGATGCTCGCTTCTTTTTTTACTTAGAGAGCTTGTTCTTTCTGAGGATAAGGTAGAGGAGATGGTGCCTGGTTTGGGAATGCAGTTAATCAAAATTCAAAACACTCTCTCTCTCTCTCTCTCTCTCTCTCTCTCTCTCTCTCTCTCTCTCACACACACACACACACACACACACACACTCACACACACACACTCACACTCACACTCACACTCACACACCAGTTTACCTCTACAGTCTTAACTGCTTCTGTCAATGTTTCAGTTTCTTTGCCATGGATAGCTCTTTGTAGTTTTTCCAATTCTGTGAATATTTTATTTTGTATAAATTTCACTAGTATATAGATGTTCTATATTTACACAGAGAATTACACATTCAGACACAATGTTTATGTTTATTCACTATATGACATAATTATCCTGAGTTACCCTATGCTGGTCGTATACTCTATTATGCCAGTCTCGAGGGCAAATATTACATTGTCGTAGAATAATCACATACCTACTGTACATAGTTTTTAAAAAGCCATTGGATTGTTGCTTACCAGGAGATAACGAAATGCATTTTGTTATGCATATAATTTAATTTTAGTTTTCGTCCCTTTCTTTTTTGGGGGGTAGAATCTGTAAAGTAATGGAAAAGATGGGTAGGAAGTAGAAAAAACAATTAAAATATAATATGTTTGCATTGGAATAAAATACAAAAAATAGATTAAATAATATTCTGTGAGCAGGGGAAAAGCCTTATTCTTTACATTGGATTTCTTTTATCCTCTCCTCTTGCCAAGTTTTTGTTTTTAAGAGACGCAGTGGTGCAATAGTTAGAACGCAGTAATGCAGACTAATTCTGCAGCTCAGCAGTTTGAATCTCACCAGCTCAAGATTGACTCAGCCTTCTATCCTTCCAAGGTCGGTAAAATGAGAACCCAGATTGTTGGGGGCAACACAGTATGCTCTCTGTAAACTGTTTAGAGAGGGCTGTAAAGCACTGTGAAGCTGTATATAAGTCTTTGTGCTACTGCTATTAAATGCCTTGATAGTTCTGAATACTTGACATTTCATATACTAATGTTACAGTCCAAAGAAATCGATCTAAATGAAAGAAAAGAACTGAAAAGAAGATTTTTCACCAAGGTGATAAATTTGTGCTTGATTAAGATGGCTGTATATGCATGGGCATGAGAGAGGTCCAGAAGTGGAAACAAGTTTGCATAAAATTTGTGGATGCTAAATGTTAGAAGCATAGGAGTACCATAATGATTGCTATTTTTGAGTGGAGATAATTAGAATAGAATATATAATCATCACAAGAAAAAACTCTTAATAGATGGCAGACATTAGAGATAGCTGCTTGCTCTGTGTTAGATGCTGTTGAGTTCCAGTTTCAAAGGCCTGGTTTCTTTGGAAAGTCATCTAGATTTAATTTGGAAAAGTCTTCAAATAAGGAACTGTCATGTATGAAATACAATACATGGTCATTCTTGTTTGGACTCTAATATTACAGTCAAATCTCAAGGAGAAAAAGTTCCTGGTGGAAAAAGAAAAGGAATACTCTTTTTTTAAAAAAAATTTTTTCCCATTTTTCCAATTTACATAACAATAAGCATTTTTAACAGTCCTATGTCATGTGTCTCTAACAGTTATCTACATTTATTTCTATACATTTTTGTTTCTCTGTTCTAACCACTTATACCACTTATCTCAAACCTCATAAAATTCTGTTTTTTCCTTGCCTTTTATTTCTAATGTGAGCTTATACATCTAATTCTAATATCTTATGTATAAGATAAGACATTCTAATATCTTATGTATAATCCGCTAATTGGCTGGTATATTTTCAAATTTTCAACATTGGGCATAAACAATTCGTCTGCTGTTACTATATGTAAAATGATATGTTGGAGTTGCTTCTTTATCCTTTGATTAATTATTCCTAATAAAAATAATTCAGGTTTAAATTCAATTTGTTCTCCTGTTATCTCCTGTAACCATCTCCTTATCTGTTCCAAATAGTTCTTTGCTTTGGGGCATTGCCACCACATATGATAAAATGTTCCATCCTTATATTTACACTTCCAGCAGTCCAGTTTCATATTTGCATACATTTTAGCCAATCTCGCCAGGGTTAAATATAAACACTGTTATAAAACATTTTGTACTGATTTTCTTTATATGCGGTTGACAATGTTAATTTACAGTTTTTGTTCCATAATTTTTCCCATTCCTCTAAATTTATATTACTGCCTACATTTTATGTCCATGCTATCATAGAAAAGGAATCCTCTTGTGTGTGTGCACACAGCACTTCTAAACCTTAAACAATGTCAGGAAGGAAGCTGTATATGTCAGCCATTTAGAAATGAGAGAATCCATGAAAACTCTGGGCAATATAAACAGAATAAAAGCAATAAGAAAATGCAATGATAAATATAAGTCTTGTCCATCAGCAGTCTAAAATGCTTCTAATTTAGATACAAATTTATTATTTCAATAAGAATTGGATCGAAAAACTGGAATACTTAAATAGCATCAGGATAATTGAAACCAATCAGTGGATAAGCAGTTCAGATTACTAGGACTATTCACTATATTTTTTTTCTTGCTATTTTTTTCTGTTTCCAATAAAGCAGCTCCAAATTTAGTGGGAATAAAGAAGGAGAAAGCTGTAGTATAAGGTACTTATTTCATTTAAAATCACTGTACTATATCAAGCAGATAAACTTTAGGAAAGATAGACAGTAGGTCAGTGGTGGGATTCAAAATTTTTTACTACCGGTTCTGTGGGTGTGGCTTGGTGGGCATGGTGTGGTTTGGTGGGCATGGCAGGGGAAGGATACTATAAAATCTCCATTCCCTCCCCACTCCAGGAGAAGGTTACTTTCCTCCTGATCAGCTGGGACTTGGGAGGCAGATAATAGATGTGGGCGGGGCCAGTCAGGTGGTATTTACCGGTTCTCTGAACTACTCAAAATTTCCGCTACCAGTTCTCCAGAACTGGTCAGAACCTGCTGAATACCACCTCTGCAATAGGTGCAATCTATTCCTCATTCATGAAAAAGATAAGCTTCCTCCCCTTTGCATGGAAAGAGGGTGAGAAAAGCAAAACTCTGATTTGCCTATATTTAGATTTCTCATTTGAAAGTACAGTATTTGTTGAAGTTCTTGTGTTACTACTTTAATCTTTTCCCCCCATAAAACTTACTAATCAGAGTTCTGAGTGATTTCTTTCCTGGGATTAAATTTGTCTAGGGTCCTGAAACCAGAAGAGTGACAATT